GGAACATTGACAGGGATATAATATAATAGCCAATGCTCGGCGAGAGGTTTTCGTTTATAAATTTTTGTTGTTGTTCTCAACTTGATTTTATTTTATTACTTCGTCTCCGTAGTTACTATTTGCAAATAGTCAATAATATTGTAGGTCCATTTTATTGTTTTTCTTTCTATGCGCCCTTATAACACATTTTTATATCATCATTTAATTTCTATTGTTCATATATTGTTGTATAGAATATATTTCAAAGTGATTCATCAGGTGGAAAACGAATAGATAAACCGATATCTAGTGTACCTAAATTCATCTAGAAATTTTCATAAACGTGACTCGAAAAACGGGGCTAACTCGGTAACCCGTGGTCCGATTTTAATGAAACTTGTTTTATTCTGTTTCTATTCTCATTTCATTACAAATATGGCGATATTGTGCGCCGTTTTGGCCGTATTTAATTACAGACAAGCAAACAAACAAACAATCTCAGAGTTTTAGTAGTATATAGATATGCAGTTTATTTTTCTGGATTAAAATAAAATAATTGAAAAGTTATTGTATCGGAGGTTAGTGAAATTGTCCAAAATGTCATATATATGATGAAGAAACCTGATTGTGCTTAGGTGGAACCTTTTCTAAATTAAGACTGATTTATACATTTTCTTTAAAGCTATGAAAACCCCGCAAACAACTCAATAAAACATAAAAATGGACGGATTCAATATTTATTACATAATGATAAAAATCTACATTTTGTTTTACTTTCTGAAATAGAACATTACGCTAAGCATTAATGTTAATTTATACTATCTTATGGAAGCCCTAATCTTAAAAAAACATGAAAGTATAATTCGGTTTCTATATTTCCATTACGAAATATATACATTACATTAATTTTTATCATATAATCATTGAAAAAATATATGTTCTTCTATTGATTTGTACGAAATTTTAATTTGAAATTGGATTATGAAAGCACGAAAAACGGTCAATTTGGGCAAGTGCTCAATAGCTCAGAAGAATTTCTGAAGGCTTATAACGCTAAAAACCAGTTTTTGATACCCGTGGTGGGCACAGCACAGCTAACCCATTTTGTGCTTAACAGCGACATCTAGTAATGTTACAAAGCCCCCTCATCTGTTGAATATTATGCAAATTTTAAATTTCAAACAAGTTTCTAATAATTTAAGATTAGAAATGACAGTTAAAGCAAAATTATATTTTCTCTTACATATCATGTAGTTAAAAGTGTACCTCCAGGCTATAAGAACACCAAAAACTTTGTGTAAGCAACAACTACATCTAATAACCTTCCAACTTTCATAGAATTTAATGATACCCTAGTCTTTTGATGTGTGTTAAGTGTTTTAAAGACACAACAGTTGGTTAAGTAACTAATTACTATTGCGAGAAGTTACTAAAACGTGATGAGAAAATAAACGGCTTGTATAATTAGTATTATACAAATACGGAATTACAAACCAGTCTGCAGAAAGTTTCGTGCTAGTACTTTTGTTATATACATATATATATATTTGTAGATTAATTTTGTGTAAATAAATTTTTACCACATTATTCAATATTTTTCGAAGGACTACTAACTACCAAAACACTTTTCAGAGAGTCAAACGCCCTCTGTAACAGAACTTATTCCATTTCCTTCATAAGGGTAAAAGAAATATAGACATAAAACCAAGTCCTGGCAAAGCTTGTCATGCCTATCTCTGTCCTGTTTCGAAACAACGAAGCAAACGTCGAGATATAACAAAGTCCTAACAAACCTTGTCACGCCTAACTGCTCTGTTGCAAAACAATAAAACAAATATCGAAATACAACCAATTCATAAAAACTTTATCACGCCTCTTTGCTCTATTTCAAAATAATGAAATGAACAGCGAGTCGAAGTCTAGTCCTAACAGACCTGAAATAATTAAATCTATTGGAAAAATATACGAAATCTATCCCAGTAAAATATGAATTTGATGAATAGTTCATAATACGAAGCAATCGTCATACATTCAGGAATACAAAGAGGACTAAAACAATGATGAAGTAGTCTTAGTGATAAACGTAGAAAATGTATTATGAACTAATGTTACACAGCGCAGTTATGTCATATCATATGTTTAAAAGGAGACATTTCACTTAAAGATAAAACATTTCTCTTCATTTGCTTCACAACTGGATTAAAACACTGTAACTTTCCTCTTTCCTGCTCGGATCTTTTCATAGAATTAAACAATTTGAAATCTTAATTAAAATTCAGTAGGCTGTCTGCATAGAAATTTTGTCCTGAAATAAATTCTCATACGCACGCTATATCAATAAGCATATTTTCCTGCTTTTGTGTTAAATTCCTAATCTAACAAATGTATATGTTGAAATGTATTTCAAGCAGCACGGTAGGGATCGTTTTTCTTATGATAAAACTGTTTCAAAAGCTATGAAAAATTGTCCGTTTTCCAATTTTGGCAGAACTTAACTTTTTTATTATTATTTATGTATTTTTGTGTTTATGCATAGATATATATCGGGTGTATCAAAAGTCACTCCCGTTGTTCAGGCGACTACGTTTATGAAACCGATGAACACAGTATTGTAAAACTTGTCATGTATTTTCACCGCGTGAAATATAATGTACACATTGCAGTGACTTGTACAAGACTGCTTAAACATCATTTTCTACGATGGCTTTTATACCACTAGGTACCATATAGTGTGATCATGATGTCATCATAGGACAACACTGTCGTCTCAGCAGCTGAAGTGACTTTTGAAACACTCGATATTTAAACACTTACGACTTAAATAATCATTAAACTATTCAAATGAATTTCATTAGGAGAGAAGGAATACATAAATGCTGATTTTTGATGTATAATAGCAGGAAATCCTTAGTTTAAACTAAATAAATGGACTTCAGTGCCTTCCCTCTTTCTTCGTACTAGTATTAAAACTGTTTTATCAGTATAACATCTCAACAACATCAGTAGAGAAAGATTAAGCTGTAATCCTATATTATTGAATATTTCACATTTGTCACAATAATTGCCTGGGGCAGTTCAGAGTAAGAATTTCGAAACAATTTCACTACTACCAAAAACTAGCTCGTGCATAAACATCCTCCGGTAAAATAATCACCCTACTTTGATTAAACACTGCGGCCCTAGGAGACCTCACTCTAATTACCGTGGTTCTTTATCAGTTTCCCGACATGACCGTAATTATAGTTTTTAAGCACTATTATTAAAGAGAGCCCAAAATTTGCGAACAGGGAATATTTTCAACCACCTTTAATGTTGACTTTTTATTTGGGTGAACATTAGGACCAAAGGGATTCTGATTTCTGTGAACAACAACAACATCATTCACCGTCATCCACCACAACGATGGTCCTCCTATAAATAGACATACAGGTGTGAATATTATCGTTCTTTTCCGCAATCCTCATTGGGTTTCTTTCTAACTAGACGCTGTAATCATAATTGATTGGACGTTTCTCACAAGCAGGCTTCTTAAGGTTGTCCTACATGACGATAGCACTCTTTTTTTAGCAATATGTTGTGACAATAATTTTTGTTTGCAACCATCCTTGTCAAAACAATTTTTATTGACTTTAAACTGTAACCACAGGTATTCTATATGTGGTAAAAGCGAGAATATTTTACTACCTTCATTAGCATAACAGTAATTCCATTTTTGGCTACATGCTGTGAATATAGAGAATCCGGCTATGATAAACAAAAACATTAATACTAATTCTTTAGAGCATTGATTTTCATTTCCGCTCAAGCATTGAGAATATAGAAGCAGACGCTATAAGAGTAATAGTCAAATTCCACTAACTGGTCAGACAAGAGTGGTCTAAGAGCTGGTGGTGGGTGCTGTTAACTACCTGCTTTCCATATAATCTGTAATTTTAAAACTAGGGAAGGATGTGCATAGATAGGCTCTTTGTATAACCTTACGCGAAAATTTTAAAACAAATAAATCCCCTCGACAATAGTACTTTCATAACCATAAGGTGATATACTCTGATGAGCAAAACGTTCTTCATCATGCTATGACGACAACACTCTTTTGACTATCTATTACTCTGAGCATAGATATTTACCAGAATTTTCAATAATTCTTTGATTAACACTACGACTACAACCACATTACAAACTACCTCGGTAGATTACGAAATATCTCTTTTAAAATACCGTGATTAATAAAACATAATGAAAACACATTTGAAAAAGAAACGTACAAAAACGGTATAATCCAATAAGACTAAAGAGTAGTATTTATAAACATTGAACGTGCTACGAACTAAAATACACAATTCAAAAATTGTTTTTGAGGAGACTCAGTGAGTCCTTTTATTACATATTACATACATTATATATTTCATTATTACGCACACAGAGAGATGTATGTCGAGAATGAAATGATTAAAATAGTTTATGTGATATATTTCAATGGTCTACCAGAGCTACGAAGTTCAAGAAATGATTAAAATAACTCATGTTATATATTTGAATGATCTGTTAGAGCTACAGTATTCAAAAAATTAGTAGAATAAGATATTTTATATATTTCAATAGTACACCAAAACTAAGTAGTTCAAGAAATGATTAGGTTAACGTATGTTTATACTTCAGAAATATATTAGAACTAGGTGTTCAAGAAATAATTAGGATATGGTATGTTGTACCTTTCATTGGTCCACCAGAACTATGTAGTTCAAGAAATGATTAGGTTAACGTATGTTTTATACTTCAGAAATATATTAGAACTAGGTGTTCAAGAAATAATTAGGATATGGTATGTTGTACCTTTCATTGGTCCACCAGAACTATGTAGTTCAAGAAATGGTTAGGATGACTTGTGTTAAACATTTCAATGGTCCATCAGAGCTACGAGGGTCAAAAAAAGATTGAGATAACGTGTTATATATTTCATTGGTCCATCAGAGCTACGTAGTTCAAAAAATGATTAGGATAACTTATGTTATGTATTTCAGTGATCCATCAGAACTACGAGGTACAAGTCTACAATGAGTTTGTTACAAGAGGGAACACTGCGATTCTCAGGTGTTATATCCCCATCTTCATAAGGGATTACGTCACTGTGACGACATGGGAAAGGGATGACGGGATTACTATAGTGTCAAATGTAGCAAACGGTAAGTTCTAGGATAGTAGATCTGTTCGCAAGCTGTTTAAAAAATTACAGAATATAATATAATATAAATTTCTTAACTAGATAGACATAATTTCTAATGCCCCTGTTTGCGTATAACAAATCACCATTGTTATATTTTCAATAACTATTTGTGGCAACACCAGGTCAACCCAAGAGCTCAGCAACAAAAACAATATGAATAACATAAAGATAGTAACTGCAATAAGGTGAGTGGTAAGATATTTCGAGGTTATAGAGGAATATGCAGACTCGGGAAGGTAGAGATACACAGTCTCTCAGGTTTAACCCGTTTTCGCATCAAAACAGCGACACATAAAATTTAAAAGTTAAGGGGAAGTTTCAATAATTATGCTCACAACTTTCTATTTTTTCACAAGGTGTGACTGCTCAAACTTAAAATATACATTCCGAATGGAATAACTGGAGCTGACCAACAAATACAGATATCGTAATCGAAAATGAACACGTATATTTTTGTTTAACTGGCCGTGATTTGTTGAGGTTTCGGCTGTAATATAGTAACCCGAAGAGGTACTGCTAAGCAGTTATATGAATTCCCACGTGAAATGTTGAATATTATCGAATCAGACTGACAAAAAGAAAAAACCCACTCTGCACTTTGAGGCCGTGGATGTAGTATAACTATTTGATAAGATAAAAAAGCTCAATAATTGGTGTTATGCACAGATAGCCCTTATGTAACTCTGCGCGTAATTCTAAAATTTAAAGAGTATTTGCTAAAAAACACTAGGAAATGCAAAAGAGTCGCTTTCTGAATATAGTTTCATACAATTGATTATTGTAATATTATTCGTCTATTCAGTGATGCCCCCCCCCCAGTGGCACAGTGGTATGTCTGCGGACTTACAACGCTAGAAACCGGGTTTCGATACCCGTGGTGGGCAGGGTACAGATAGTCCTCGTGTAGCTTTGTGCATAATTAAAAAAAAACTATTCATTGATGAACTGATGGTGTGTTATTTACATTATATACGTGTAACTTACACATACCTCTAAATCTTAGGAATTTAATTTGAATATTACGTTTAGTGGCAAAATTATAGGATTAACTATGTTAATCCCAGTAGGTTTAAAGACAGTGTAATATAAATTGTATAATTTCATCCACTTAGTTGTTACAAACCTGCTTGTTGAAGCTCCTGAAACGACAGACAGTTACATCACATGTTCATTTATTTGTTCATGTACTCATTTTGAAATCCGAGCGATATATACATCAGTTTTTACGAGTAAATTAATAAACCTACATTTCGCGCGAGCGTCTTAAACTAGCAATAAAGTTTTCTTTGTCGGTAAGTAAAGAAATCTTTAAAATTGGAACTTGATATTTTGTAACTCATAAAGATCGATAGCGAATACAGTGCCATCTAGCTAAATATATTAGTGATATGCCCCTGTTTGGTTTTCTCTGTTTACTCAAGTTCATTTGGAATCGAATAGGACGGAATTTTGCTATTTAAGTACACAGACGTTAAGAAGATAAAGTGCAATTATACCTAGACTGCTGCATAATCTTTCCATCTGAATAGCCTACATGCGGGATGTTAAAAGGATTTAGAAACTTGGCTTATATTGTTTTCTGTTAGCTTTTCTAACCATGAAAAATTCATTGATGTAAAGTCCATCAGAGAAGAGCTCTTGTACGTCTTGCTGATTGTGTACACAGCAAACCACAGAATCTACAAGATAGTTTACACTAGGGAAATGCTAACAAAGCTTCCTTCCATAAGCAAAATGCTATTAATATCATACAAGAATTTAGTCTAAGCGAAGAAAAGCATAGAGATATGGATATATAACTGTGGATGTGACTAAGCATACAGATACATTTATTCACAGAAACTGTGCATGGATACTACGTCAAATATATAATGTTTGGATCTATAACATAGTGGAGATATAGTTGGTTGGACTAACAGACAAACAGATAGATAAAAATTGTGCCAGTAATAGAAATAATCAAACATTTCTGTTGGAAATGTATTTCGTGCTTATATGTTATTATTTAATATGGCATTAATTATCTGTCCGAAACAGCTAATACGAACTTAATTATCTCCAGAGCTTAAAGCGACTGCTTCTGAATGAACTTGCAGATCACGTGACTTCATTTACTAGGACTAAGCCTTGTGTCGGACAATCATCAGTACTTAGGAACTTAGCTATGACAACTACAAAATTATGAAATGCAAGGACTTCTGATAAGACCTGAGCACATGTACAAATTAATCTGGATTAATGTAACTACGTCTGGGATTTTACCAGGAGACGTTCAAGTTACAGTCGCTGTTCAATGCTTTTAAAAGCTACTAATTGAAACTAATGGGCCTGAAAATTAATATAAAAATCAAGTTAACTGCAGATAATTTTTCCCCATTCCTCTTAATTTGTTCATTACAGCTCGAAACATTTCAGATTCATATATTTTTACCCATATTTCGACAAATTAAAAGGAATTTGAGAGATAAACAACATCTACAGTTAACCTGATTTTTATAGCAATTTTAGGCTTATTGGTTTCCAAAAAAAAAAATATATATATATTTATAAATGACGTTTCATAGTTTTTTGTTCAGCCTAACTAATGAGTTCAATGTTTTTGTAATTCTGGTTTTCATAGAATACAAGATTTAATATTAGCAAGTAGATGTTTAAAAATCTAGCTGTATTGTATTCAGATTGTACATTTGAATTAATACAAAGGTAACCATTATTTGTTGGTACATTTTACTATATAAGCTGTATTTTATCTGCATCTTGTGTTAGTGTTTTCAATGGGTTGGGTTTTGTTGCATAACGACTTAGGGCTGCAAAATAAGGCTTTTACCGGGGTAACCTTTATTCACACTTAATAAACCAACTTGAAGTTCAGTGAAAGCACCCTATATTTAAGAATTATGCAGATTAACATTAAAACATTGGTCAAGTGTTTCATAATAAACATTCTTAGTAAATTCATCGCAAAATGAAATATTAAGAACAATAAAACTTAAAGAGGAAAGACTTATTTATTTCTAGTTTGTAATTTACATCCTAGCAATTCAAACTATCCTTCAACAACGATATCCAGTGTTATTGTACATTGTTTATAGACTTGAGATGTCGTTGCTCATTTGGTCGAGAAAATTATGTTCTACTGGAACTATTTTTGAAATATTATTAGCAATACTATATTATGATAATTTAAAAGGTTAAGCTCACGTGGAGCTTATATTTAAGTTTAATAATTTACTGTATAAAAATATTATTCCTTCAATTTTTAGTGACTACCCAATAATTCTAAATTAAAAGGTAGAATGCACCGAATTTCTTTATGTAAATGACTGAATAGATTTGCCATAAGAATATTAAAATTCATTTGAATTGTTTCAATATATTTCAATCTAACACAGGAGGCCGGTTTAGCGTTCTCTCGCACGGAGAGCTTCACATCCGAAATACCACAGATAAAGATGGTTTCAAAGGATACTACTGCCGCACTACTCATACTCTCAATGGAGAATCTCACCTAAGTCAAAATTCAGGAAAACTCATAATTACAGGTGAACGTACAATAAAAGTTTTCAAGGTCTATATACATTAACTAATGTCGCCGTGAGCTACAATTATTGTATCATAATATAGGGGGACTAAAATTATTTTCTGTCTCATTGTGGTTTTGTTTTAAATACACATCATTTTTTGATATAATGTCTAAAAACTTATGAAAGATTATTCTGTATTCAGTTCTTGTGATATAAACAAATAAGTTGTTTACACGTTTCGCAAGAATAAATAAAAAACAATACAAATACAAAATCGATAGAGAAGTTATGGTTTTCGTTTCGCTATTGTATCTTTTTGGTACTTTTGTATCTTGTATTGTATTGTATCTTTTTGTGAGCTCAAGTCTTGGTACATTTTTTTTTTCATAGGAAGTAACGTTCGCATCCTTTCAAATAAAAATTTACAAATAACGTCAAATGTAACTATTTTGTTTGTGTATATGATTTTATTACTAACATCCTAATAAAAATATGGTATTCAGATAATGTTCTATGTTAAATTATTTTATACAAAAATGTTTCCCATGAATATAGCTTGGCATTGATAAAGTGGGTGTTTTTTGTTTGTTTTTTTTTTTGCTTAGTGTAATTCTTTAGAACTGACGCGTTTATAGTTTAATACCTAAGATAATACTTTTACCTACTCTCATCATTTGTTCTGAACGGTTAATTAGCCCTGTTTTGTTATGAACAGGCTTCAAACTTCCGGTATCGTAATGGATTCATTTGCGTTTTAAAATCCTTAAATTTCACCTGCTCTGATGACCATCTCTAAATGTTTCCTCTGTCCGACCTCTTAGTATTTTATGTTGTTGTTTTTTTTAGATACTGTGATTTGTTTACATTTGGATGTATATATCATTAATACGAATAATTGCTGAATAAATCAACGTCGATCTTTAAAACTCGTTATATACTGCACTTATAAAGCAAATGGGTGGGAAAGTTACATATAGATTGTAAGTCAAACCAAAAATACATATATATCTCCAACAAATTAATTTACTCGTTTTCTCTTTAACTATATATTTCTTTTCACATCCACATTTTATAGTGTGATTAAATAAAAGTATCTCCCCTAAAAACAAGTGACTTGTAAACACACAGAACTAGTAAGTAGTAAAATATGACAAGACAATAAGAGCAATATTTAAATACCCTTAGAGAGCAGCAAATGAAAATATGTAGATTTCATCTTTCTGAAACTTTTTTCGTTTCTTTAGAAATCCTAAAATGAGAATGCATTCTATTTCAGAAATGAATACAATCAAAATGTTACTGTTAGTATGTTTCTCGGTTTTCTTTGTGTGTGTGTGTGTGTGTGCAATTCAAATTCAAGCATCCAAAACTGTAAGAATAATTTAGGTGATAATGAGTAATTTTAATTTAGCAATCAGTTAAACAGTTAATCAGTCACACTGAAACTTGTCGTATTCTAATTAAGAATACTTTTACAATTCACAAAATCTTATTTACTGTCTTAATTGTCTTAAGGGATATAGTTATGGTTTTGAGTAATATTACAGAGTTAAAACATCATCAAAACAAAGCAGCGATTTTGATATATAGTATTTAATAAAAAATACACTATCATATTTTGATAACAATTTAATCATACTTGCAACGTTATCCACAGAACCACAGACCAATCAGATGCCTCGACTTTCAGAAACCAGAACAGTCTACAGTGTTCAGCAGGGAGAACCGGTGGAGCTTACATGTGCTGCTGCGCAAGCCTACCCACTTCCAACATACCAGTAAACATTTATTGGTGTTTATTTATTACAACTTATATTCTAACAGAAAACTGAATAATGTAACATTTCAGACTTTTCAGCTGCTTTAAGTTTAGACTGCTATTGAGATTACCAGTAATTTACTTGAAGTTATTTGAACATATGTATACTTATATGTGCTGAGTGTTTCTATAAATTGACTCGTTCAGTGTAATAGTAAAATGTCTTTGATATATTTGATAACCATAAGAGTAATACTATAGTCAATTATATATGTTTCTTTGTTAAGTCTTACACAGACGCGTGCAAAAGGTTAAAGGTCATGGTAATATTGAAGAAAATTTTCACAAAAAAGAACATAAAACATTGACAACTTGGATAAAAATCTAAATATCTTAAATGTTCTATTAAGTTATGAAAGTCGTGATCTTTTGTTTTTTGGGTAACTAAATCTTATTTTTGTTGTTGTACTAGGCTACAACAGCAGTCAGATTTACCGTAATTAGAAGTTAGATAAGGCTTATAACCCGTTTTGAATAGCTCAATTACATAATCTATGGTTTGTCCTTAACATACAACTGTATGTATTTGCGAAAAATGCAATTTATTACAATAGTTCACTGAGTAATAGATAGTAATTTTCCGCTTCAATAATCTACTTAACTTTAAATAATCAAGCCTTTTAGTTAGTTGTATAATTTATTGACAAGAAATTGTTTTGTCATCTTTGAAGTCTTAGAAATGTACGGAACAAAAAATATATACGTCAAGATAAACTGGAAATGTTTCATTAACGAAAACATGGATAAACTTGAGGTTCTCGAAATCATGAATATTCAGTGATGAATTCTATTACTTCCCTTTGTCTTATAGTTACATATTGTTTGCATGTTCGATTGAGGCAACTTGAATCTACATGGGTAAGAAAATAGTTCTTGATACGTTCACAAATTGGCAAATTCCGATCAAAACGCATGATTGTGGTTTAGGTCAATGCGGCAGACTGTGAATTGAATGCGTCGGTGAACACCAAGAGATAATTTATATCGGAATAGTAATAATAGGCTCGAGTAGCCCTTCTTCTTTGTTACTAGTTGAACGCAACAAAACGCGTTTACGATCTGCGTTAATATAAAAATCTCGAGTCAATGGTCTCTTCTATGTGAACGCACACACGCATATATATATTGACGTTCTTTATTATAACTCAGTTCTCTGCTAAAAGCCAATACTCAGTGGGATTTTTATTACATACCAAAGGCAGTATTATGAATGAACCATAAAGTTCATAATGACAGGAAAAAATAAATTGAAGCTTAAAAACGTCGAGTTTGGCTCGGTATCTTCTTTTTATCTCCTTGCGCTTGGCGGTTGTTTCCATGAGGGCTGGAATTGATGACAGCCGTCACTCTGTCAGAAAGTGTACATGTATTTTACTCTAAGCCAATAAAATAACACCATCGATAACGTTTACACTACACTAATATAAACAGAACAGTTTATTTGTAATGATTTATCAAATACTTCTAATTAAATTACAGAATTTAAATATAAATCCAATTTCCAAGTGATTGTCTTTATTGATCATTCTTGTACCTTTTAAATATGGGTTAACAGTCTTGTTGATTGCAGATTAATCTTTAAAACTTCAAACTTTCTTCTACAAGATTTGTTTGTTTGTTTGTTCTGAATTTCGCGCAAAGCTACACGAGGGCTATCTGCGCTTAACGTCCCTAATTTAGCAATGTAAGACTAGAGAAAAGGCAGCTAGTCATCACCACCCATCGCCAACTCTTGGGCTACTCTTTTACCAACGAATAGTGGGATTGACCGTCACATTATAACGCTCCCACGGCTGAAAGGGCAAGTATGCTTGGTGTGACAGGGATTCGAACCCGTGACCCACAGATTGAGAGTTAAGCGCCCTAATCACCTGGCCTAGACCTACATATATATAGTGATACGTATGTGTGTGTCTATGTATACACATTTAGATATAAAGTATTGCTTTAAATTCCTGTGAATGTATAAACAAACATTGAGCTTATAGTTCTAATTAACGATACCTATTAGATCCAGGTGTTAAAAACGTTTATAAGCTAATTGTGTTTGTTTTTTATTTCATGAAATCGGCAAAACATATATGATCTGTTTATTACTATGATGCTGTTGTCTTGGCGTTCAAGGCATTTAAATTATGCGATTAGGAAAACACTCGAAATAGAGGCAAATCACAAAAGAACAGTCAGATTCAGATAACAGGTTGGACGAGGAGGTGAGTAACATATTGAACAGTAGATGGTGAGTAAAGTATAGATCTGTCGCTGAGTATTGAATAAATCAGACTGTATAGGAGAGTTATATGGACAAGCTCACCAATGAATAGATAGATAAACTGATTATTATACACGGATGGATAGATGAGTTAAAAAATGGGGTTAGATGAACAGATTTGTCAGCAAATGTTTATGGGTAAGTTAAAGGGTGGAGAGACTGACCGATTTATCTGAGAATAATTGAAAAGATAGAGAAGTTTCAGAATGATGATGAGGTACGGTGAGTATATTCTTCTGTTTGAAAAATGATCATATGTATTTTTAGAACATTAGCTGGTTCAGTTACTTTCATAAGTGAAGTCTATAGAAAATATGTTCTCGCTCAATCTAATATAACACAATAAAACACTCACAAGTATTTTTACATGAAAACTTGCAACCTTACATTAGGCAACGAAATCCATTTCATTGTTAACTGAAGGTTTCAGTATCGTTCAACACATGGTCAGGTGGTCAGGGCGCTCGACTCGCAATCTGAGAGTCGCGGGTTCGACTACCCGTCCCACCAAACATGCTCGCCATTTCAGCCGTGTGGGCGTTATAATGTGACGGCCAATCCCACTATTCGTTGGTTAAAAAGTAGCTCAAAAGTTGGCGGTGGGTGGTGATGACTAGCTGCCTTCCTTCTAGTCTTACACTGTTAAATTAGGGACGGCTAGCTTAGGTAGCCCTAACAAACAAACAAACTTTGTTCCAAACAAAAAACAAAAATATTGATATATAGCTACTTTTGGCGGCAAAGTAAGCAGTCGAATCACGTTGAGTTATTAATTCTAAAATACATTCCAAAAGGCATCAGACTGAACGTAAGCAAGTATTCGGGAAATATTAGGTAGATAAAACTTAAAACATGACCAACTACTCCCCCATAAAACTTGCAGTTTTCGAATAATATATAGCTTTAAATAAAAGAGCTATCATTTAACACTGCTAAGTAATATTTCAAAAAAAAAAGTCGACTGGATCTGACATTGGAAAACTGTTCGTATTATTTCTTATACATTTCAAAGGCAGAAATTCAAATATAGAATTGTGATATTTACAAATAGCACTGACTTCTCTTAAGAGTGACAAGATAGATAGGCATAATAAAGTAAGATTCGTCAATATATCCACTACTGAGTACTGATTAACTGAGTTCACGAGAGATATAGAGAGATTGGACACAAATGTACTTATCACAACACACTTAGGTTTGAACTTAGGTTTGAGGTCATTCTAACTTAGCCAGATAAAGTTTGAACTTAGATATGAGGTAAGTCTAACTTAGCCAGATAAAGTCATAAGCAAGACTGAATATGTAAAGCTCACGTTCCAGTGTGAATAAATCTCTCGTTACTTATTTAAATCGTTAACATCACACGTACCCAGAGCGACTAGCGTTAACCACGTGATTGGTCATTTCCAATGAAACGTAAGAGACGTTATTACTTTAAGAAAATACAACCTTCTAGCTTCACATATTACAGGTGAGCTTGCAAATATCTTTAACACCGGAATTAAAAAGGTGCTACTCTAGATAAATTACACATTAGAATAGGTAATTAGAGCAATAATAACTTAAGGACCTTCTTGACAACATGTTATGTGGAAACTGCACAAACTTGCCAAATTTCAAAAATTCCTATTTTGATACAAGGAGGTATTATGCCACAGAATTATGCAATTCATTTATAGTGTCATGAATTCTTTAAATTTATTTTAATTGTTAAAATACAACATCCAATCATTCCTGACTGGAACATTTATAGTTTATAAGGTATACATTTTGATTTATTTTTCGTGTGTTTAGTAAAATTTTGTGGAAGTGTGATGTAGTGATAGTGGGTATATGTTATTTTTCAAACAGCTGGTACAAGAAAGATGGCGCCAATATTATTCCAGTGTTATTGAATGGAAATATAATACAAGTAGGTGGCTCCCTCTATATTCGAAAGACCAGTGTTCGTGATGGTGGAACATATGTCTGTCTCGTAAAGAATAACGTTGGACAAAAAAGAATGGAAACACATTTAACAGTCACAGGTAACCCTCTTTCAATGGGAACTAATAAAAGTAAGATTATTTTGAATCTACTTTTGAGTGAACTTTACTGTGTGTAATAAATTAATAGAAACTAAGAACGTTTTAATCTAGCGCTAGTGCGAGAACACATGATGAAGTTTATACAGATACGTATAGTACATATTCTTTACTCAAGAAAAAGATCTGCTCACCTCAATTCTCAAAACATAAAGTTTAAAGTGCTTTTTTTTACTTCATGATAACGTTATTTAGGATTCTTTTCGTTTTATGATAGTTCCTTTAAGAGCAAAACTCACTCCAGAAAGACTCTTGGTTAACGCTGGAAGGTCTGCTACTGTCACGTGTAACGTGTCAGGATTTCCTATAAACACAGTCAAATGGGTTAAGGATCAGCGCCCTCTAACACCTGATGGAATGAAATTTCGTCTTCTAACGCGTGACTCGCTTCACGTGTCGTCCGTTGGACGTGAGGATAAAGGCATTTACCAATGTTACGTTAGCAATAAGGATGATTCTGCTCAAGCAGCTCTAGAACTGGTTTTAGAAGGTAAGTTTTTTTTTTTCACTTTCAAATACAATGTTACTTTACAATGGTCTAGCATCATGAACTAAAAGCTTATTAAAATTGTTAAGAATGGGGAATTTTTGTATAAAATATTAGTTATATCGAAGAAGAAAAACGGCATTTACTGTTTTTGAGTACTTGTACTTCAAAAAACCGAATGATAATAAAAAAAAACAAAGGCCCCAAACCTCTTTTTTAGCTCCATGGTTTTTGATCGTCTGACTTTTGATTCTGAGTAAAAGACTAATCACCAAGTAAGCAGACATACATGTCCTTCTATCTGCAGTGAGAAGTGGCCGGTGCTTCCGGATATTCAAGAAAGTAATAGTCGAAACGTTCTTTTAATGGGTGTAGAGGTCGTTGATAAGAAGCCTTCTAATGGAGAAAGAAAAGCTTTCGTGCTTACGGATATATTATTTTTTGTCCAAACAAAATGTGCGTCGTACTTTAAAAAAATTAATGTTACAGTGAGTTTCAAAATGTGGCTCTAAATATTCTTAAATACTCTTGAAGAAGTTTATATATATATATATAAACTAAATATTCTTAACCACCTCATATATATATATATACAAGATTAGTAAAAATTTTTCACTTAAAAAGGGGGAATAGGGATCGTCAGGAAAGTACAGAAATAACTTAAATCAAAATGCAAAGATTATATTTTCAAGCCTACAACTAGGAGTCTAAAAAAGTAAACAAACAGCCTAATAATCTTTGCATTTTGATTCAACTTGTTTCTGTACTTGTTTGTTTTTTATGTCCAGGTATGGAGAACAAATTTTAAGCTACATACGTACATATGCGTCCAGTTGAATGTTAAATGTTTTTTAACTGCTGCATTGGCTTTTTTCCACTCAACCACCACACTGAAATTATTCAAAATAAATAACAAATGTATTAGGTCGTCAAAAATTAATGTCGCGTTCTGGAACACTTTCATTACCCCCTCCCCCCAAAAAACATACATAACGTATGATAGTTAAACGAACCGCCTAAACGTGTAGCCTATATAACGTGTAAAGTTTAGTATTCGTCATGTAATGCTGTTTGAATACAAGAAGGGAAACAACGCCTTTGTAGCCACAAAGAATATCAAAGAAGTTTATGGAAATGTTTTGAACGTTCGTAAGTGTCAACGATGGTTCAGCAAATTTCGTTCAGGTGACTTTAGCCTTAAAAACTGTGATAGCAGGGTCCGACATGTTGGAATTGATATTGATGTTCTCAAGACGCTTGTTGAGTCTAACCCAAGGCAACACACTCGTGAAATGGACCTGAAATTGCATGCCTTTCATGAACAATACGTAAACATCTAAGGAATATGGGAAAAATCCATAAAGAAGGTGTTTGGGTGCCTTACGAACTCTCTGATGATCATCGTTTCCATCGTTTCTTCTGGCGAGTAACGCGGTTGGAACATTTTTGGACAAAATTGTCACCGGTGATAAAAAATGGATTCTCTATGCGAATATTAAAAGCCAAAAATAATGCCTCATTCCTAGATGAAAACCACTTCCGCCCCCTAAACCTGGACTCCGTCCGCAGAAAATGATGCTTTGCGTTTGTTGGGACATCAATGGAATAATTCATTTCGAACTTCTCAATCCACAGCGAACTGTCAATGCAGAGATCTATAGTCAGAAACTGGAATGTTTAAATCAAGCCCTTCATCAAAAACGTCCTTCACTCGTCAGTCGGAAAGGTATTCTTCTTCTCCTCAACAATGCACGTCCACATGTGGCACGTTTGATGCAACACAAAATTATGGAGTTAGGTTGGGAAGTTCTCCAACACTCACCATATTTTCCAGATATGGCACCATCAGAGTATCATCTTTTTCGTTTGCTGCAACACCATCTTAATGGGAAAACGTATGCAAATGTGTAAGGTGTTAAAGAGGACATCAACATGTTTTTTGCTTGAAAGCAAAGTGATTTCTTTAATCAGGGCATTAAAACCTGATTGCAGGACGGAATAGCATCATCGATAAGAATGTAGACTATTTCATTTAATAAATGTTTTGTTTTGATAGATAAGTTGTTCGGTTTTTTTCATCTAAAAACAGCGATATTAATTTCTTGACGACCTAATACATAAAACAGAAGAACAATATTTACTACGACAATGAGGAACATGAACATTGAACATATTATTTATATGCAGAATTACTATAAGCGTAATTAGCATGTTTTAGCATCCATAATTTGTATACTAATAATTAGAGAGGTACAATATTTGATACGTGACCTAATGAGACGATGGGAAATACGACTTCAATACCAAAAATAATCATCACGAGAGGGCACTAGCCACACATTTTGTACAACCATTATATTAACTAAGTTGCTTGCAGTCGAGATAAAGCTTGTTCTGATTGGAAGCTAATATTAAATTGATTCATAGCTCAACGAGACTGTCCGAACTTAGCAGTTGCTGAGTTTTGTTCATATTTGAGTACAGTACTTATTCCTCAATTTGTTTTGAATATTTAACCACGTTACATTTTTTGAATTACTTTCTTAAGTAAATTAAGACGACTTTTCACCTTATTTCCATTAAAACTTTAGAATATTACAGTATAAGCTGAACTCCAATATCTTCTATATTTAGGTTATAAAATACGTCAAATTGCAGCTAATAAGTTGATTGCTAACAAACCAAGCGAATAGAAATATAAGAATAGAAAATATTAACTGTTTATAATGAAATTAAAAAAAAAGTTCAATTTCTAGTAAAAGACAATCATTTCATGCTCGTTTGAATCTCTGTTAGTGTTGCACGGAATGCGTACAAAATTAAATTAGACGTGTTTCTCATTCCTTTACACAAAATATTTATATATCTTACATTAAGTTATAAATCTGGTAATTTCACTTGCATAGTGTGAGGAAATTGAACACGGAGTTTAAACTTTATGCTAGCTCTATTTTATATAATTCTATAAAGCTCCAGTTATTCACAGCTTTTTATAATAACCATTTAAGGTAATTAATTATTTATTTTTATCAAATTCTTCTGTGCATTTTTTTTAATTCCACGGTGGATCAAAAATAAGTTTATGGACATACAACGCTAAAATTCGGAATTAAATTCCTCGCGTTGGACAGAGAGCAGATAACTCATTGTGTAGCTTTGTGCTGAAAAACAACAAACAAACAACAACTCTATTTTAAACACAAGCTCATCAATTTTACCAAATTCTCACGTATAGTGTTTTAGACATAGGTTTATCAATGTTACCAATCTCTTCTGCACACTCCTTTAAATACATGTTCATCATTTTTTCAAACTCCTCCATGTGGTGTTTTAAATATACGTTTATCAGTGCTATCAAACTTCTATATAATGTTGTGCAGAGAAAATCCATTCGCTTGATACCAAATGTCATAGTTTATAATAACCTATTTATAAAAATGGCTGAAAATATATTGTATCATTTTTGTTATAGAGGTCATCAAATCGTACAAAGAGGAAGTAATTTAAAGGTTTTAGCCAACGGATCACTCGTAATTCCTAAAACTAAGGAAAGCGATTCCGGAAACTACACATGTCGTGTACGGAATAAATATGGAACCGATGAAATTGGATTTGTTTTGAATGTTCAAGGTAAACAAATCATACATTCCAACTTGTACTAAAGTTTGTCAAGATAAACATTTAAAAAGATTAATATTTCATCAATGTAATCAAATAATATATTTGTTTAGTCAAAATATATAGATGATGGATAATTATTTAATAAAACTGTATAGATGATAGATCATTATTTAATAAAACTGTATAGATGATGGATCATTATTTAATAAAACTGTATAGATGATGGATCATTGTTTAATAAAACAGTATAGATAGAAAAATTAATATTTAATACAACTGTATAGATGATAGATCATTATTTAATAAAACTGTATAGATGATAGATCAATATTTAATAAAACTGTATAGATGATAGATCATTATTTAATAAAACTGTATAGATGATGGATCATTATTTAATAAAACTGTATAGATGATAGATCAATATTTAATAAAACTGTATAGATAGATAAATTAATATTCAATAAAACTGTATAGGTGATAGATCATTGCTTAATAAAACTGTATACACAGCAAAATTAATATTTAATAAAACTGTATAGATGATAGATTATTATTTAATAAGACTGTATAAATGATAGATCATTAGTTAATCAAGTTCTATACATGAATAGATTATTATTTTCCAAAGGTTTATAGAAAACTATATTGTCATTTCAGAAAGATGTATGAATAACAGATCTCTATCGATGTCATAATTGGATAAATTAATTACAATAATCTCCGTCATATTTGGAAAACTAGAATGTCTCTCAGAATAATAATTAGACCCTATAGTTATCTAATCGTGTAAACCTATCAATGTTAATATGACTGTAGGGTCTAATTATATCTAATCGTGTAAAACTATCAATGTTAATATGACTGTAGGGTCTAATTATATCTGATTGTGTAAACCTATCAATGTTAATACAACTGTAGGGTCTAATTATATCTGATCGTGTAAACCTATCAATGTTAATATAATAATTAGACCCTACAGTGTATTAACATTGATAGGTTTACATAATCAGATATAATTAGACCCTACAGTCATATTAACATTGATAGTTTTACACGATTAGATATAATTAGACCCTACAGTCATATTAACATTGATAGGTTTACACGATCAGATATAATTAGACCCTACAGTCATATTAACATTGATAGGTTTACACAATCAGATATAATTAGACCCTACAGTCATATTAACATTGATAGGTTTACACGATCAGATATAATCAGACC